TCAAGTGACATCATATACTAGAGCTCCACATCAAATAAGGAACAACTCGTCATCAAAGCAAAGGCCTAGATCCAGACATCTCTAATTCAGATAAGGAAGATTCATTGATTTCACAATCAGATGCTTCCATCACTGATAAATAGAGATCGTTACTCTTATTTCCCTGATCATTTTCCTTATTAGCCACAATCTCTGTTGATTTCGCTTTGTTCCCCTCACATTCAGAGTACACACAAACCCTAGATTCTTTTTCTCCCGACCTTTTTTCTTTTCTGTTTGATTTGACGTCTCCCCTCCTTCCTTTAATTTTAATCTGGTCAGGCAGGACCTCACTCTAACCAGTCTCTAGATTATTTTGCGTTCTTTGCAGCCCACAGGTCTACTAGGCCCATGTTGGTCCACCCACTTCCCTTTCTTGGCCCAAAAAAATCTTTTACTATCAACTCGCCCCAGGTTATCTTTTCCATCTGTTCCAAAATGTTTCAAACATCCATTTTCCCGCGTGCCACTTGTCACGTGATTGCTGACATTGTAAATTTGAATTTTGGATTGTACCTGACCTAGTTCCCCTGACCCGACAATTAGCATATGCCCTACCCGCTTTGGACTCGACATTCGCAGAATGTCCGCAAACAAGGACATTTTTGCCGGCTCCACCTTGACCACTAACTCCAAACTACACCCCGGACACTTACCTGTTGTGCATGCCATTGGATCCTGGACAGTCACATGTTCCAAGTTGCTCAACTTCTTTTTTGTCACCCACTCCGAAGGCACAAGCTTAACTCCGATCGCCTAATGGATAGCCTCCATCAGTTGTCACCACCCATCTGCCTTTAACCCCTCCAGCAAAAAAAACTGGTTTATCCGTCCTTTTGGGCCCTCCTTTCCTTCCGCGAACACCAGAAACCGTCCTAGACTATTGCTACTTAGCTCAATCGAAAGAGTCCTCCATTTGCTCCTTCGGTTCTAGCTCCGCGGCCCTTCCAACTTGTTCTTTCATGAAATATTGAATTAATCACTTCACATCCTCATCGTAAAAAAGATTGACTTCTGAAATCCCTTCCCGTTTTCATACACGTGGATAGCCTTGCCCTCCCCTACCACGTCGAACGATTTGTGTTCTATCGTTAAAAATCTTCTTTGTCCTACAACCATTTCTCAAATGTAGATGCCGCCGCCGTGAGGGCGGCGACACGGATATGCTCACTCTGTCTTGCTCTTTATCTCTCTCTGTCTCTCTCTCTCTACCATCAATTGACATTATACAACCAGTTTATCGTTAGGTTTCACACTTATAGTTTACTAATGACAATTTTTTTTTTCTGCAACATGATGATAGATGAATTAGAGAAGCACTCACTCTTATAAGTTTTTGAACATATCTTAGAACTAAAAATCAATTTGAGAAAAAAGTGGTATCTTAGGAACTAATGCGGATGGCCAGATTGTTGTGAGTCTAGTGGAGTGAATAGGGTGTGCTAAGATTAGTTGGTCTTTGATATAGCAAACAGTTCCCTTAGGGTGTAATCTGACAAGCAATAATTTTTGGGAGGGGGTGGAGAATAAAGTGGCTAAGAGGTTACAAAGTTGGAAAGGATAACTTTTTTCTTTAGGAGGTAGAGTAACTTGATTTAGGCATTTGTCTAGTACACAACTTTATATCTTATCCTTATTTTGGATACTTCCAATGGTAGTAGATAAAATTGAGAGACAAATGAGGAAATTTTTATGGAAGGAATGAGTTATTGTGATCAGAACCACATAGTGAAATGGAAAGTGTGTTGTAAGTCCAAAAGCGGGGGAGTTGTGACTTGAGAATCTTATAACAAAGAACTTATCCTTATTGGCAAATGGATTTAGTGTTTCCAATGGGAACCAAGTTCTTTATGGCATAGAGTGAGAAATAGTATCTATAAAATGGTAGGGAAGAGGGAGATGCCATAGCAAGTCGATCCATATCCCACTATAGCACTTGGAAATCCTTCTCCTAGACAATTCCTTTGTTTTTGTCCTAACCATATTGCATATAGGAGGTGGATCAAGAGTAGTGTTCTAGAAAGACACCTGTGTGGGAGATCAATCTTTAGCTTCTTAGTTCACTTGTTTGTTTAACCTATCATCTAAACATGATATCCCAATCTCGCAATTCATATCCACTAGTGGAGGGTGCATTGCTTGGAACTTCCCTGTCACCCATAACTGACAGACATTGAGACTCTTGAATTGGAAAATATATTGGGATTGTTGGATCTGGTTCACCTGTCTTCCCAGCCTGACACGCAAAAACTGGTATTTGGAATCATCATGGATATACATTTGCAAATCTTTTTTCCAAATGAAATCTGTTAAGCCAATTTCACATTGCTAAAGTGTTTTGGAAAGCATCTGTTCCATCAAAGGTAAAGGTGTTTAATTGGCAGCTATGCATTAGACACTCAGTACCAACAAGATGCTATAAGTCTGTCATCCTCACCGCCTCTCCATCTTCAGATATTTGTGTCATGTACTTCAGAAGAGTAAATCTCATTCCCGTTTATTCCTTCATTGTCAGATAGCTTGCAAGATGTAGACAAGATTGCTCAATGTGTTTGGACTTAAATGGGTCACTCCTCCTATAGTTGAGATTTTCCTCTAGGTACACCTAAAGAGTGACAGGGTAAGGAAGGAAGTGAAACCATTATAAAGAGATGTCAACTTCTCCAGCTTATGGACATTATGGCTTTCAAGGAACTGAAGAATATTTAATGATAGACATACTTCTTCTTGTGAACTATGAGAGAGAACGACTTTTTGGCAATCTTATGGGCCAATGCATGCAGATATTTCTCTGGGATAGCAATTTCTGATCTTCATCAGAATTGGGAGCTATAATCTTTACTCATTAACAACTCATATATTTTGTTAATTTATGTTGTGTTAATGGGTTTTCTTGTTTTCATTGACATCAGTCGGAGAATGTCTTATTCCCCTCTCTGTACGGTGGCTTTATTGTTATTACATTTAGATAAAGAGATAACTGAATCAGACCTGACATGAGGAACCCAAATTTCATTAGTATCTTAATCTTTTTTTTTTCCAAAAAAGATGAAAATCTTAATAAGTAGAAGGTAAATAATCGAATGTCCTTAAAAACTCGATATTTGAAGGAGTGGAAAACCAACTAACTTGAAATCATTACAACCTGAGAATTGGATGATTTGATAACGCAAATGGCACAAAGCCTGATGCTTGCTGAGTTGAACCCAAGTAAAACTAGTTAATTGCTATCTATAACAAAACTTGGATGCTTACAATTTTCTTATCAGCGCAAAGGAAATAACTGATTTGAAAAATAGTCCTGGCCTTTCTTGTTTGGTTTCCAGAGATGGGGGCTTCACATATCTCAATCAAGTAAAATTGGAATTATTGGTGCACGGTCAAAATGCTTGCAATTGATTATGGCCATTGTACTTCATTATGTTCAGTTTTAACTTGAATGCTCCATGGGTTGTTTTCTTTTACTTTTGACAGGTTACTGATCATCTTAAGGAAGTGGCCAAGGGCATCAATGTTAGAGTAGTTCCTATTGTTGGGGGGATGTCAACTGAGAAGCAGGAAAGACTTTTAAATGCAAGGCCTGAGATAATTGTTGGAACTCCAGGGAGGTTATGGGAACTTATGTCCAAAGGAGAAAAGCATCTTGTTGAGGTTAGTATTGATGCAATTGAATGTTTCCATGCAGTCTGAGTCAGCATTACTTGAGAACTCTAGCCAGAAATTATAACTATATATGTTTATTCATTTGTTGTTTTTAGTTATGAACTACATGTACTATATCATGCCAAATTTTATGGTGTATTCTTTAGAGACCTTACAGAAATGCTGAAGAAAGAGTGCATGCGGTTGTCCTGTTAGTTACCTCTTAGACTGTTTCCAGTTTTTACTTGTTAACTTATTATTCATCTTATTCTCTAGTTTCTCCATAGTGATGTCTTATAAAATTTATGGTTGGGAAATATTTTGGCTTGCAGTGAGTGTACTTCTGGGAGAATAGTAACAGAGGAAAATTCTGAACATATCACAAAAAGAAAATTGTATGTTGGGATGACATGAATGAAATATCATCATTAGGAAGCCTATGATCTGTACACTATTGAACTCAGGTATCATAAGTCTCATGTAACATTATCTAGTTTTGTGTGCGTGACGTGTGCATAGTCTTATGATGTATAATAGCTTAATCCTGGTTGAATAGGAATTGGTCTGGCAGTCGTAGATTGGAATTATATTTCAAACTGCATTGTGACCTGTAATATGTAAACTCAGCTTAAACTTAAGTAATCACGGTTCTTTATTGACCAAGGCGTCTAATTTTTTTAAGGTGCTGTCTTTATCTATATTTATATTTTTTTTAAAATAGAAAGTATAATGTATCAGTGCTGCCTTTATCTATTATGCAAAGGAACTAGGAGCCTATTCTATATTGATGTATGCTCTATCTGATTTGTTTTGTGCTTTATTTTCTTTCATTTAGATGACTATGCTTAAATAATAACATAGATGAAGATTATTTCCTTGCTTATGTATTAAAGTATAGACGTTTGACTTTAGTCCTCTGTCTCGGTTAATCTGCATGGATAAATATCTGGTCTGGTTATTATCAAGAAACACATTAAGCTTATGTTTGGAAGAAATCCAAAATTTTGATGTAGTTCATTTGCGATTTCATACTTATTTTAACTAGAATATTGTAGAAATTCTAGATAAAATGGTATAGAGTGATATCATATGGAATTCCATGTGGAATTGGAATATCCATTTTAAAATCCATAAAAATTGATGAAATTTGGAATACTTTGTTCCAATTCCACACGAAATTCTATATGAGGTTAACTTTTTGTGATTCTAATACAATTTATATACTCTAAATTAAATGTAGATTTTCAAATGAATTCCACAATATTCTAGATCTTTTCCATACATATCCTGTTTGTTGTTTTTTCTCCCTCTTGGAAGTATCACCAAGTTACCATCATTATGCAAGTCTGAAAAAAAAAAGGATCACCTCTTACAGTACTGTTGCCTCAGCACCAAATTAAAGGTTTCTGCCACTGAAGAAGACTATTATCGCTTTCGCTGATGGCGTTTGTAGCATAATTTTATACCACACTGTATAGAATTCAAATTCCTTTACATTGATTCCACAAGTTGATATCCCACTACTACTTTTTTATGTGCAGGCTTTTTCTCATCAAGATCTCATCTTACATTTTTCCTCTCATTCTGCAGTTACATTCATTGTCTTTCTTTGTACTGGATGAGGCAGATCGCATGATTGAAAATGGACATTTTCGTGAATTGCAATCAATAATTGACATGCTTCCTATGGCCAATGGCTCTACTGAAGGTCAATCTCAATATACAGAGAATTGTGTGACAGTCTCGAACTTGTCAAGAAAAAAACGACAAACATTTGTCTTTTCAGCCACTATAGCACTGTCTGCTGATTTCCGTAAAAAGCTAAAGCGTGGTTCTCTAAAATCAAAAGAATCAATGTCTGAGGGGGTGAATTCTATAGAAAATCTTTCAGAACGAGCTGGAATGAGAGCTAATGTTGCCATTGTTGATCTGACAACTGCATCGATTTTGGCACATAAACTTGAAGAGTCATTTATTGAGTATGTTTTTTTCCTCTCATTTCATCTATTTCTTCAAACTAGTTTGTCAGGGAAAGACGACATGATTAGATAAGCAATTTAGTGATCTTAACGAATGATAATGTTGTTGACGTGCTTCATACAGAGGAAAAAAAAAGTCAAACCAGTCATCAGGCAAGCTTGAGATTTGAAAAAAAAAAAAAAGAGAGGACATTTTTATCTAACCATTTAGTTATCTTAAGGAACGATACTATTTTAGACATGCTTCATAGCATGGAAAAAAAGAGTTGAATTTATTTATAAAAAAAAAAGAAAAAAAGAGTTGAACCAGTCATCAGACAGATGTATTGGAGAACATTAACTTTTTGAGTTCTTCTCTTTTGAGTCACATACCTTTTTCTTGATGGAAAAACAAGAATATTAGTCACAAGAGAACAGTAGGCTGTGGCCAGCTCTTCAATTCTCTAGTACTTTCTCGAAATTTACCCATAGAATGGATAATGGAAGTAAAGCCAAAACCACTCTCCACTCCTTCAAACCAGCTGCTTGTTACTGCAAAAGATACCTACTACTCCTAAGTTTGTTTCCTTATTTATTTGCACATATAATTATGTGTTCTCTCAGTGTTTTTGTATTGTAAGGAAGAAAGAAAATATATATTTGACATCTAGTTTGGCTCAGACAACATAAACAGTACAAAATAGGAGTTTGCCTCTTTCTTATTTGGCTTAGAAGATGACTGTAGGATACATTTCCTGCTTTTTTTTCATGTTATCGTTGTTCTTTCAATTTTCTTTTCTACTATCTTCCTTTTTCCATCAAAAAAGAATTTTCCTATTAGTAGAAGTTACATCAAGATGAAAGAATATTACCGAATGTAGGGGAACGATACCTGCAAATGTAAAGCGCATGGTTTTGACAAAAATGTTATTTTTATAAAAATGGAAGTTACTTTTTCATATTAGTGAGTTGTTATCCACAAGGTGCCAACAGATTCTGAATTGTCTGTTTCTTGGTCTCCACCTGGTACCATGGCATTGTCCAAAATCTGTTTCTGGTAGTTCTAGCTGATGCCTATCCAACCTGCATAGATATTGACAAGTTAGATGGAGCTACCCAATTTAGATTTAAAAATATATGCTCAAAATGGAGGGGATCGAGGGCTCGTGGACAAGTGGTGGGAGGAGGTGTCTCTAGCGGGGTTATGCTAGCTTCATTTTTGCTACTAAGCTGAAGCATCTCAAAATCAAGCTTAAACAATAGAGTAAAGAAGATAATATGACCTTGAAGAGAGATAATTTTTTAATGAGGTTGAGGTTTTTGGTTGTAAGGAAGGATCTTGGTCTTAGGTCTCCGAAAGGGAAGAGATCTTATGCTGAACTTGAGCTCTCTAATTTATTGATAGTAGAAGAAATTGCTTGGAAGCTGAGATCTAAATCTAGGTGAATTATAGAAAGCTACCGAACACAAGGTATTTCACAGATTGGCTTGTTTCTGTAGGAGTAACCTTGTTTATTCTCTGTCTATGAATGGCTAAGTTTATCCCATGACTTGGGCATAAAAGAGTCTTTTAGAGACTATCTTTATTATGTGTTTGGAGCCAGCTGGTTGGTGTCCTAACCTAGATGGGAATTTATTTATTTTTTAATATCTTGGTTGCCCTAAGAGGATAGGAGTTGGGTTGAGAGGAAATTTGAAGATGAGGAAGTTTTTGCTGCACTATCATTTTGCCAAGGTTACGAAGTCCGTTGTCTTAGTAGCTTTTCAATGGCCTTCTTGCTGAGCAACTAGAGATAAGTTGCTCATTAATATCTTGGTTGGTGTCCTAACCTAGATGGGATTTTTTTTTTTAATATCTTGGTTGCCCTAAGAGGATTGGAGTTGGGTTGAGAGGAAATTTGAAGAGGAAGTTTTCATTGCACTATCATCTTGCCAAGGCTACAAAGTCCATGGTCTTAGTGGCTTGTCAATGGCCTTCTTGCTGAGCAACTAGAGATAAGTTAAACATGACATCATTAATTTGTTCAAGAAGTCTTTATTTTTAAAAAAAATAAAAGAAAAAGATTTTATTTTGAAAGAAGAGAGAAATTACTACAAAGAAAAATAAATCATCCTTAGAGAGAGACAAAAAAATCCAAACCCGAAAAGAAAGGAGAGAGAATGGGAGACCAAAGAAAACAAAAGACTATGTTCATAAAAATATCCCAACTTTTGTGGAGAATGAAAATGCCTATATCACGGAAATGTTCGTGCACCTTGGCCTAGATGGTAGCCAAAAGAGTGACGGTCTCCCATAGATCAGTTTAAGAAGTGTGTTTGTTGTTAAAGATTGAAGGACGAGCTAGCCAAATGCACCAAAGGCCAACAAAGAGGACACCATGCCATAAAGGTAGAGTCTCTTTCCTAAACCTCTTTCTAAAGAGAGATGGGAAGGAAGGATTCCATCATGACGGTGGGGGCCTAATAGTAGGTACATAAATTGAAAAGATTCATCCAAAGCTATGTCATGGTGGGGAAACAAATGTGCATGAGTTTCCCCACTCCTGAAGCACATGACATATATGATATGAGAGAAGCCCTCGTAAGGCAATAGACTTGGAGTAAATCATTAGTGTTAGGCTTACGATCAATAGTAGTCCAAGCAAAAAGCTTTACCTAAGACGAAGCGGGAGCCTTCTAGAAGGATATTTTAGCTATAAAGTTGTTGGTAGGGTAATGGTAAGGAATTGAAAGATGGACTTGAAAGTGAAAGTACTAGAAGGCTCCAGTGTTCTTAACCTTTGATCACATTGGGTGGATAGAGTGATAGGTGCCTAAAGGTTCATTAGAGTTAACATTTCTAAAGTCTCCATGTTGGAAGATCACGAGAAAGGTGAAAATTCCAGGAATACCTTTCATCAGTTGAAGATAAAATAGGAAATATGCACATGGTGTCTAAGATGTACAAGGAGTCTCTTCTTCATGGAAAGTTCTCTAGGTTAATGCCATTTCCATGTCTGATGTGGAATATTTTAGGCCTGTTAACCTTTTTAGATGCATTTACAAGCTTCGGACCAATGACTTTGCTATTAGACTAAGTGAGATTGTTGAAAAAGTATTGGGGGAATGGTCGAGGGGTTCTGGGCATAGTGCCAATGGCTAATGAAATGGTTGAAGTGATTGTCAAGAAACGCGCAAGTGGAATATTGTGTATACCAGATGTAGAGAAAGCATATAACCATGTTGATTGTAATTTCTTGATTTATTTATTGCTGAGCAAGGGTTTTGGAAGTAAATGTCTACATGGATTTGGGGGTGAATCTTGTCGATCTCATTTGTAGTATTAATTAATTAGAGCCCCTCATTTCTAAAAAGTCATTTGATTACGTCAATTGGGTCCTCTTTATTATGGTCATGAAAGCTTTAGATATAATTATTCCCAAGGCTAGGAGACGAGTTGATTAGATGGATCAAGTGTAAGTGAAGGGGAGAGCTACCCCCCCCTCTTCCTCCAAACTA